TAGGCAGGTGGTCTTTATACACAGATTACTCAAAGCTTGTGCCTTGGGACAGGCCAAAAGTGGTCACTATAGGCAGGTGATCTTTATATAGAGGTGTTCTCTAACACAGGTTTGACTGTATGTAATAGCGCAACTAGCATATCCATTTGTCCAACAACAGGTCATCAAGTTGGAAATAAATTGAAAAAACTTGCTGTTTGTTTCAAACACAGGTGCCCCAATGAATGAATAAAGAAATATATTAATTTAACTGAGCTTACTTGTGGTGATCTGCAACTTTGTAGGATCACTTTTTTCAACACCACTAGTTGAATCTGAACCACTTGTTGTCACAACAATAATTTCGTATGTGGTTCCTGACGTCAATCCAGACATCTGCCATTCTCGTGGATCAGTAAGTTGGAATAAGTGTGCTGTGGTCACATCACCAAGTTTACCATAGGATACTTCATAACCGTCATAATCACCATTAGGGGCCTCCCACGAAAAGAGGATAGAATCAGATTTAATTTCCACAACATCAATTGATGGAACTGCATTTGGTTCTGAAAAAAACAATAATGTACATTTTTGCATGAGCAAAACCATGGTTTAAAAAGTGGCTGCATGCTGTGTGAATTCTGTTCGTTGCAAGTTCAATGTGAGCCATAGATACAACACATGTAAATTACTAAAAATTTGAACATGAACTGCACAAATTCCCCCAACAGCAGTGTGATTTGATTTCCGTAAATTTTGTTAATAAACTCTGGTATAGAATTTCTTGCCTATCATTGTTCAATCAAGTGAGCAACACAGGAACTGCTGTTCTCACCATCTATAACAATAAAATTCACCTTAACAAAAAAGGCTGGCAAAAATGTGTCCACTTTTGTTTTCTTTGAAACTTTCGATCAGAATCAGCAAGTGATTGTAAATTATACCAAATAGAACCAAAATCAACAAAAATAACAGCAAAATACATAAAAATGCGCAAGATTTAGGAAGTAAAATTTATGACATTCAAGAAGATTTGAGTACCAAACTAAAAGTTATTTTATTAATATTTCTCAAAAAATAAGATGTAAAATGAAATCTAATTTTTTTTTAAAGATGACCTGTACACAGGGAAAAGGACAATATAGTCTAAAAACAAAATACTACTAACATCATTTGGCATAAGAGGTTAATTGGCAGCAACACTTATCCATACGTCTTTGTAATAGACAGGCATATCTGATGGGAAAAGTCAACATAGAAATTGCTTGTCCTGTGGACAGGTAGCTACATGTGTATTTCCAGCTGACTATTGGAATATACATGTACCACAACGGGTGAACAAGATAATTGAACCTACTTGTTACATGCGTTTCAACAATACTAGTGCTTTTAACAGAGTCCTGAGTGGTTCTAACGGAGACAAAATAATCCCGGCCCGCTGTTAGTCCTGAGATAGTGTAAGACGTGATGGAATTGCTAACGTGTGTTATAGCATCTGACGTGCCGTCGGCTGGCGAATAGTAGATATCATAACCACTGTACACACCGACACTTGGTTGAATCCAACTAATATGAATCGTAGAACTGTCATATGTGGTGACGGTCAGCGATCTTGGGGGATTTGGAACTGAAAAATTTATAGGTACACAGTGTTTGAAATTCGTCAAAATAGTTTACCAGACAATAGGGCAGGTAACGCTAAAAACTTACCTGTCCTGCTAAATAAAATTACCAGCCCTGTTTATGTTTTTCAATATCTGATTTTTTTCACTACATTTCACTCAATCAGTGTCACTGCAGTGACTTTCACTGAAAACATGCATAGTGTGACATTTCGCTAAAACACACTCCGGCCATCGATTGTTGTTGTTTACACTTGTGCATGTGTCAAAACACTTGTATCAGACTTCTAGGTACATAATTCTGACAACAATCATACATAGACATTTTAGTAACATTTTATTTATTTTCTCAAAAAAATCTACCCGACAGGGTGAGTAGCTTGAAATTTTCACCAGCCTGACTGAATATTTACCTGTACCGGGCGTACCAGCGGTCAGTAATTTCAAACACTGGGTCTAGTATTATAACCATATATCATGCTGTGAAGAATTTGAACATAAAAATTTCAACTCACGTGTCCTCTGTGACTTCTGCTCGGCTTCAATTTCTGCACCGCTCTGCAATTGAGCAGTGACAACTGCTGTATAGTCTGTTCCACCAGTCAGTCCTGTCAGTGTAAGCTCAGTCTCATCATGGTCAAGATTGTTTACAGAAGAAGTGGTACCCAATGGATTGTAAACTAGTTGGTAACTGGTAACTGCTTCAATAGGTGAGGTCCATCGTACAGTCATCTGATTTGTCTGAATGTTTGTGAAGTAAATTTCTATACCGGTGGCTTGATCTATGAAGGTTATTACATAATAAAAACGTTTAAATTAAATATATTTTTTTTATTTGACAAATTTTCTTGTAGTGTTATTTCACTGCTTACTATATTTCACACAGTTTTGTTAGCCAAAAGAAAGAGAACGCACCCAGACAAAAAATTCAAGCTATTTTACGCTGACCTTGTATCTGCAGCGTTCAATGAAAGAAGCGTTATAGTGAGTGTGTATATGGAATAAAGTGTGCAAAACCTAGTCGTATACTCAATTCTAGTGGTGGTTGAATGCCATTATATTATCCAAACACCATTTAAAATATTGAAGCACCAAAAACCATGTACAAATGTGATGCCGTACCAAAACCCTCTACTTGCAAACATGGTAAAATAAAATGGGGCCTGGAACTAGCATACAGTGATGATAGAGTAGTAGTGCCAATTTGTATCCATATTTTGGAATTTATTCTTAGTGTTGGCAATATTGTCTCAATTGACAGAATTTTAAACATAAAACGAATGCCGATTAGTGCTGTACACCTGCTTGTGTTCCGAAAAAAAATTCTTGGTGAACATTGACGCAACTAATGAATTACAATTAACAAAAACGTGCATACAGAGTTTGTTCAGTACAAAAACTTTTACATCCCAGAAAACATTTAATGTAGCATACAAGGTTTCAGGATTTTCCCTGAACCTTTTCAAAATTGAAGCGACTTGCAGTATTTTGAATGAATAAATAGAACACCACAACATGTTCATGTGCTTTAAATTTTCAAATTATTACTCTTTCAAAAAAGTCATGAAATTGAATATATTGAATGGTTCAACAGTACTCTGCCCCAAAGAAAACCACTAAAGATAAATATGGAAAATATTTCAGAAAGTTAAGGTTTGGTAGTTTAGAAATATTAAAATTAATTAATCAAGTGTGTTTCAGGCTTTTACATACTGTAACGTTTTCAAAGTTATGTCAATTGCATTAATGCCAGTTTTAGTGTTTTATACTTTATTTTTACTATTTCATCATATTAATGTTTTACTTTTATTTAGTTAGTTTTATCATTTTAGTCTTTTGTTATTTGTACAATACTAAACCCCCTGATTGTTTTGGTTGTGTAATAAAGTTATTATTATTAATCAGATTGCTTGCTTCTGACAAACAAATGAGCAGTCAAAAACTATAATACTGACAAGGTGACAGTGTTGAAATAATGTTGCAATGTTCAAATACAGTTAAAAAATTCCCTGAGAATCATAAAAAAAAATCACTGAATGTTGCAAGAAAGTAAACACATTTGGGGATGAAAAGATCTTTTTTGTCTGTAAATGTTCATCTGTTTCATGTTCTGAAAAGCGTTCTATGTTCTACTTTTTGGAAGACCACACAATGGTGACCAATGTTATTTGGTACAAAATGAAAACTAAAAATATGTCAAATTTCGTCTTACAAAGTTGATTTCAAGATGAAGTGGTTACATACCAGTTCCCTGTATCCTTGTCTGTTGTTCACTTCGCTCACTGCCGCTCAGTGTTACTATATTGATAGAGTATGTTGTATCCGGTTTTAAGGAATCCAATGTAAATGCAGTATCAGAATCATCCACAATAGTAGGTGATGTTACATAACTATCAACAGGACTGTATGTAATCTCATAGCTATCGTATTTGCCATCTGATGGTGGTGTCCAGGCAAAACTCAATGAAGTCACTTCTACTGTTGTGATGTACAATGATGCTACAGCCATTGGTTCTGGAAAAGTTAAATGACAAGTAACGCAATTGTGTAATTGCAATAAATAAACTGTATAAGATAATTGTGATCAAAACAAACCAACATATCTAGAAATTCAAATTAAAATGTTTTTGGTAGTGATAAAAAAAAAAGTTTAAAAATCCTTGGTAATATGCAATCAGGATCTGCTGAGTACACTGTATAACACAGCTGACAATGTCGAGACGACTACGCAAGGCCAACTACGCAAGGCTCAGGATAAAAAAAATAGTCCTGGTCAAAATCACTGCATGCACATGTAAAAAAGATCCCCAATAGAAAACTAGACAGTTGATTATGTGACTGCAGATTATAACTTAGTTTCCCATAGCATTTACACTTTCATGTCACTGTACTGTAGTTGTTCAAGTATAAACCCATCCGGGGAAACGGCAAATTGACGAAAAATTAGGGGACAGGGGGCTTATAAACAGATAAAAGTTAAAACTTCTCCAGAGCGATAATTTATGCTAATTTATTCATAAACAAATTCACGTCATTTGTAACATCATGACATGATTGGTCTTTTTCCGACATACATGTACATGAATAATTCATCAGGTAGAAAAAACTTTATAATCAAATCAATAACTTGCTGTAAATTTGGAGGGGGTTATGCTGAAATCAAATCTTGTATGTGCAATTCGAGTAATTAACACTCACTTGTTCTCTGTGATTTAGTAGAAGGTGAACTCTTAACTTCTCCAGTTTTGGTAGCAACTCCAAAGATGTATTCTTGTCCCGGTGTTAAACCACGGAATTCCAACTCTAAAAGATTCTTAGGTACTGAGCTCTCCACAGCACGTTCACCATCAGCTGGATTGTAAGTCACAACATATTGTTCAAACTGACCTGTGGCTTGCACCCACGATATCTTGATAGTGTTTGTTGAGTAGGAAAGCACAGATATGGTACCTGGCATTTCACCCCCTGTAATCAAAAATAGATTTGTTAGTTACAACAAAATTAAAATTCGATAATTTTTGTTATTGACTCAAAAATTACCCAATTTTTTATTACTGATTAATGATGAATTTATTTGATAATCATTACAAAATTTCCCCAAAAATATGGAAATAACCAACTTTTGTTTGCTCTTTATTAAGGTTACTTTAATATTTCTAAGATTTGGTAAATACTAGTTCATGAACATTGTCATGAAAACCAATGAATTTTCCATAACTAAACTATTATTTGCAAAATAATAAAAGCACTATTCAAAAAACATGTACTAGTATATGAAACCGAACTGACGAATAATCAGACCGCAACCACACAACAATTTTCAATTGTATCAATATGCAATTAGAGAAGTGTTAGAAGAAAATAGAAAAAAGGAATATTCTCTTTTATTTCTTGAGGCTGCTGTTGCAATAACAATTGCACATGTATGGACTATGAACCTCAGGCACCATTTAAAAAAATTAATTTTTTAAAAACAATAAATGAGATTATATATTAATTATATCAAAATTATTAAAAAAAAAAGACTGCTTACTGGTAGCCTGCTGAATGGTTGTCTTTTCACTTCTTTCACTTCCACTGATAGTATAGATGTCAATAGTATACACAGTACCAGGTTCAAGTCCAAGTATAGTGTATGAATTCACATTACTGGACACTGTGATAGGTGTGGCTGAAATTCCACCATCTGGTGAGTAGATTATCTCATAATTGCTATAAGTACCCGTGGCATGCTGCCAGCTAATTTCAATAGCTGTCGTGCTAACAGTTTCCAGGGTGATGACAGTAATCATTTCAGGCACTGTAAGGTTAATAATAAAAAAGCAAGAAATTATTAAGCCCATTCTCTAATGTTAATCTCAAGAACTTGTAAGGTTAATGATTTAAATTACAGATGTTTATGTTGTGATACTTGTAAACTAGCTCAGCCTTTATAATTTTTATTGTTTTACATGATAAATTCTTCACATCTTTGTCAAGGTCAAATTACCAAAAAATACTTGTCTATTCTGTTGTGCATTTACTGCTACTATTTACCAACTTCAGAAGGATCATTAAACTTATATCGAGAAAATCAGCGTGAAGCCAAGTTTGAATTATGAATTCCTTAGCATTGCAAAGAGATTTACTTGTGTGACACTGAACCACGACAAGAATAAAATTGCTATCTGTCATAATAGTTTACTTCAAAAATTATTAGTATTTGTTGAGTAAACAAAGAGCAAATAAATAGTTTTACCTGTTCTTTGAATCAAACTAGCAGGATTGCTTCTCAGTGATCCAACGGTCGTGTACACGTTAAAAGTATATACCACACCAGGTCTCAGCCCAGTATATGTATGAGATACGAGAGTATTAGCCAAAAGTATTGTCTCTGCGTAGTCGCCGTCCGCTGGTGAATACACTAATTCATAGTAATCAAAAGGATCCGTAGAATCTGGAGGTTGCCAGGTCAGAGTGACCTCCGTAGTACTATAGCTGCTAACTGTTATACTGCTAGGAGAAGGTGCATTGGCTTCTGGAGATGAGAAATTATGAACAAACATAATTAATAAATACAGAAGCAATATATATCACTGGAATTGTTTAGAAAATCCTTTCATCACATTTACTGTTTGATCATTTTTTCAATAAAAGAAAGCATGACTGCTGCCCTCCATTGACCATCAACACTGCCCTCTATGTTAGAAAAGAGTAAAGTATATGTGATAATGTTTTGAGAGGACTGTTTCAATGGGTAACTCAGGCATATATGAATAAGCCATCATGACATCAAAGAGAGGGATATTTATTAATAGCAATGAGAATTGCTGGTCAATCAAGACTTCACTCACTCCAATCCAGGGTGTGAAAATCTGGGCCTCGTTCACAACAATGCCAGCCGCACTCATGACAATTCAGGTATTCACTGGTGATTTACTCACTTGTTTTCTGCGTCACCATAGTGACCTCACTATTCAAATTACCGCTTCTGGTATAGATTGTTATTTCATATTCAGTATCAGGCTGCAGACCAGTGATAGAAGCTTCCAAAGTACCGCCTCGCACAACGCTGACAACAGTTGTCTTGATACCGTCTGGTAACTCCCTCTTATGGACTTCATATGTATCAAACATGCCTGTAGTTACAGCTGACCATGTGATAGTTATCATATTTGTGGTGTACTGATTGACATTGATCACATCTGGTGGCAATGGGTCTAAAAGAAACAAGATATGAAACAATGGTTTTAATAATAAGCATCATTCTATGAAGACAAATTATCACGAAAGTTACTAACAAATGGTCTTGTAGAACACCAATGTTAAATACTAAAAAATATCAGAATTTACACAGAATTAGTTTAAAACTTCTCTTGTGAAATAAGCGTTTTTTAAAGCAGCTTTATCTAAAATTTGTGAACAAAATTCATCTGAGCAATTCCTGAGATTCAATACTAGAAATACCTAATTGTTGATTTATTTTAAAACTTAAATGGTCACTAACAAGAACCAATGTCACATTTTGTCTGTTTGGTCAAAAATTAAGATTAAATTCAGTGAAAATTTACCTAAATTTGGAGGAGAGGGGAACACAATTGTGCACTCAATAAGTGACTGCATATTTCGAGACTTGGATACTCACATGTTCTTTCCATGACAGATTCTGTTGTATCAGGTCCAACCGCAGTGACAGAGAACATATATTCACTACCAGGAGATAGATTAGTAAACGTGTATTCTAGTTGACTTGAGCTGATTGTCCTTTCTGTAGTCTGTGACATACCAACCACATTATGACTCACTGTATATGTAGTAAAGTCTCCTGTGTGTGCAACCCAGGATATCTTAATGCTTGTTGTCAGAACTTCCTCAACTGTAATCGCACCTGGCTGGGCAGCAGCTGATGAAAAAAAAAAGAGTTTTGATTACTGGACAGATAAAGTGTAGTTAATATTAGACCATCATCAATTCAGTTTTCCCTTTTTGTGATTTAAGTAATATCTAAAAATGCCAGTAGATGCATTGAAGGGAGAATATAAAACTCAATTAAAAAAAAAAAAACAGTTCTCCTGTGCTGAACAAGATCATGGCAGCCATTTTCATCTAAAGTCTAATTTCAAGTGACTGATTTCATGTGTAACAAGTTATATAAAGAATTACTGTTACCATAGCAACAGTGAATACCTGTAATAATACTAGCATCTACTGATAAACTCCATTGTTCGTCATTGTTGCTTCCAATAAAAGTCTTCAACGAAAACTGGTACAGTGTACTGTGTTGTAAACTGTTGATAGTGATTTCCGTAGGGTCATTTTTGGATATAGTGATCGGAGAAGAGGGACTACCATCAGCAGGTGTGTAAGAAAGCTCATATTCATCAAAGTTGCCATCAATTGGTGGGGCCCATTGCAGCGTGACTGAGCGATAGTCAAACGAGAAGACTATCAATGAAACTGGCGCTCCAGGCTCTGAAATGTGAAAATTATGTATTTAGTGGAAATAGTTTGCTTTGCAATCTGGGTTCATCAACTTTTGTTATAATAATATGGTGGCATTCAGCAAACACAAAATCATATGTATGTATATGTATGTATGTATGTATGTATTCAAAATCTTCAGAGAGGCATAATTTGCATATCATTCGCATAAGGCATAATTTGCATATCATTCGCATAAGGCATAATTTGCATATCATTCGCATAAGGCATAATTTGCATATCATTTGAATAGCTAGACATGCCTAATAATACATTGCCCAAGCATACTCCAAAATGTCTAATTTTTACTGGGTTTAAATTTCGCTGATTTACCATTTCAGGCATATTCAGTGGGTTTTAAATTAGCGCATTTCCCAGTCAGCGAAATAAGCAAAATTTAATCCCAGTGAATAATTAACCCTTCTACAGTACAATACATGCAATTTATCTGGTTGATGTGTGTTTTCATTGGAGTTATGCAAATACAATATCAACATCGGATGCTGCTCATTTATAACCTGCTGTAGATAACAAAATAACAGAAAGTTAAAGCTTACGTGTGCGTTGCTGTACAGTAGTGCTCTGTGAAGCTCCATCAGATACTGTTAACGCGTACAGTACACCTGGTGATAATCCAGTAAAGTTGTACTGTAATATAGATGCCGAAACATATGCAACAACTACTGCTCCTGTTGGTTCTATTGGTTCATAGGTGATGGTATATTCAGTGATTAGTGTACTAAATGCAACCCAGGTTATGGAGATGGTTGTATCAGTATAATCAACAATGATTACGTCACCCGGACTTCCAAGTGCTGGAATAAAATATCAAATGCAAATCAGATTTAGCAAAAAAAAAATCACATTTCCTGTTATCATATCAATTTGTATTTGCACAAATTGGATTAATAGCAGTTGATCACATTGCAAGAAGAACACGCAATGTATATTTTCTTTTTCAATACAGTCCTAATTTCTTGTGTTGATAGAGATTGTATAGATTGTGTGACGCGCTTTTTGTATCAGTAAGTAATACCACGAGATACACAAAAACAATAGACCATTTTCCGTTCCCTGCAAGATCCTGTGTTACGTTGGAGATCAAATGTAAAAAAAGGACAAACAAAGATGATAGCGTTGTAGTGGTGACAAACATTGCCTGGGATTCGATAAAAAATGCAAAGTATTTTTTTTGGGGGGGGGGGGTATTTCCATGCTTAATAATATGCTGTACACATTCGATGATGGTGCATTTTAATGAAGTAAGGGTATTTCAAACACAATATTCCCCTGTCAAAGATCAGGATTTTGATATGAGCTACAAATAAAAAAATAAATGATTTTTGTGGCAGACGTTCACATTTGACCCGGAAATCAGCTATTGATATTATAGTACAAATTGAAGACTTGCCGCTCATTTACACAACCATTTCATGGATTGAAGGTGTGTAGGCACACTGCGAGTGTGGTTGTTTTTGAATCATGATTAATCTTAGTTCGAAGAAAATTCCAGAAGTTGTAAATTCATCAGAAGCAGCCTAAACATGCAGTAATACGCGAAAGATGAAGCCTACTGAACTTGTAGAACTTGCTGATAAGCTAAATAGTCATTGGCATGTGCCGCCGTGCTTGGCAAAACCTTTAGAATTACAGTTGAAATTTACTTTAAATTGCATTTATTTCAGAAAGAATCAGGGATTGAGTCATATATTTGCTACATACTATATGTAAAAACTCTCTGTACTGTAATAAAAACATCACTAAAATTTTCAGGCTTGCGTTTGAGGCTATTGTCACTGCTGCAGCATACATACACAAATATAAACATTTGTGGTTTTTTTTATATTCATCGATTGTATGTCTCCTGAGAATAAGTGTGGCAGACTAAACGAACCTCAAATATCTATTTCATATTTCACACATTATTCTGCAACAATAAAACACCACTCACATGTTACCAGGGTCTCCGTCTTCTTGTCGCTATAGACACGCTCACTTCCTGTCCCCACATAAGCAGCAACAGTGATGACATACTCCATATCAGTCTCAAGTCCAGTAATAGTAGCACTAGTAGTATCTACAGTGATTGGTGACGACACACCGTCCACGGGGTAATAGCAAATCTCGTAACCATCAACATTACCATACGATCCTGCCCAGCTGATGGAGATGTCACTTTTGCCGGATGACACTTGATTGATTGCTCCAGGAGTGTTGGGTTCTAGAAATAAGTATGTCATTTTCAGTGTTTAATGTACATAGAAAATCCAAGTTGGATTTTAAGGAGTTCCCATATTCCGGAGTTTATTATACGAGTGGTTGTCTGTTGGCATCCGTGTCAACTCTTTACTTTTTCGACTTCTTCTTGAAAACTACAATTTTTATTACTTTAATACTTGGTGTATATGTAACATTGGCAGACCTCTCTCAGATTTGTTCATTTTGTGATGATATCTTTAATTCTCTAATTTTGGTGAATAATTTTGGTAAAAAGTTATATTTTCGACTTCTTGTTGAAAACCTCAAGTCTGAATGCTTTGATACTATACATATAGGTACCTCAGGTAGACCACTTTTAGATTTGTTCATTTCGTGATGATATCTTTGATTCTCTAATTTTAGTGAATATTTATGTCGTTTTTGGTAAAAAGTGATATTTTCGAATTCTTGTTGAAAACGGCAAGTCCGATTGATTTGATACCATACATGTTGTTCATTTTCTAATGATATCTTTAGTTCTTTAATTGAAATGTGCATTCCTAACTGCTGAGCTATCTCAGCCGACAGGCTGCTTGTTACCGATGCATTAAACAGGAGTACTTAAAACTAAAACTTGTTGCAAGATTGTTGCAAAGTATGTACTCAGGCAGTACATGTACAGTGCTTAATCAATCTCCACTATAAAGTTTTTTGATATATATAATAGAGCACTTACTGGTGTATTGCATTCTATTGGATGATTCTACATCTGCACCACTTTGTTGTAAGGTTATTGTGTATTGTGTACCAGCATTAAGTCCACTTAAACTCATTTCTCTTGGATCATTTTTGTCCAATAAAAGTGTATTAGTGGTAACAGCTGGACTATAGAAGATTAAGTATTGTGTGAAATCGCCGACGCCCTCTATCCATGATATGTCCATGCTAGATGTAGTCAGGTCAGTAATGTAAATCTGGAGTGGCACCGCAGAGTCTGGAAATAAAAGTTGTTTTTGAAAATTGGCAAAATGAACAAACTCCTGAAAAAAGATTAGCTTTAATAATGCAACCTCCACTATATGAGCATATTAAAGGTACATACCTGTAGTGAATGGAACCGTCACAGCACCACTAATAGTATCAACAGTCTTCGTACTCACACTGACATCATATGTGGTCTCTGGTTCTAACCCTCGGACGATTAAGCTAGGACAACCAGACCTCTCCACTTCAATCAGTTGGCTCAATGGAGTGCCCACACCTGATGCACCAGCTTGTAGCTCTAAGAGTATTTGGAAACTATCGTAGTCATGACTTGGTGCATTCAAGATGACCTTTGCTGTCGTAGCGGTAATCTGCTGTATGAAAGGTTCTGGTGGTGCTCCAAGCCCTGTAACGAGAGAGAAAAAAACATGGCTTGCACACGATACTAGTGATGTGATGATTGATTAAAAAGGCAGGGAAAACAACTCATTGTCGTTTTACCCTAAATAAATTTTCAGTGCTACAAAATTTCATGTTTTTCACTTACAGAATTAAAGAGGTTTACAGTATATAATAGCAAGGTAAAATCTTCTTTTCTCTGTTAGAAGTTATATGCATGTCAAATTCACATTCACAAGATCCGATTTACATTACAAGGAATGTACAACTGTGATAGCCTTGAATTTAAAAAAGATTTACTATTTACTAACACTATGTACAACCAATTTTAATATGCAAGCAATTGTACATGCAATTTGAGAACAAAACTTGAAAGAATATACTGGTATTTGAGGATACAGTGTTAATTCTATACAAATATGAATGTAAATCGTAGTATAAAGTCCAAAAAATAACTGACAAGAAAATTTATGCTTTTACTATTCAGAACTATTCAGCAATAAATTTTTTATTACTATTTCCAAAATTTAGATTAGTGCTAAAGTTACTGCTTGCTCTGATATCAAGGGATGAACAGTTGGATCAATGTATCAGGTATCAGTATTTGCATTATGCAAGTGACAGATAATTTGCTCACAATGCACAATAACAAGCCCTTTACAAGACATCTTCTAAGTAAATGTAACACACCATGCATGATAGCAGATCTGAGAATCATTAGGTGCAGCTGTAAGCAGTATATAATTACACCACTTGTAAAGTTGTAATTTATCTATTTAGCAAAACATTAAACATTATTATTACATGTGTATATATATAATAAAAACAAAATTGGAATAATATATAATGTCCCATAAAACCACTAAGTTACTTAATGGTATGGTGTCCATGCAGAATTGTATTACTGTAGATCAATCCATATTTAGTACAGGCACCCACAATCATGAACACTGATTCCAATCTTGATACTTGCTAGTTGCAAATATTGTTGATTTCATTGCTTTTTACATACCTCCAGAAAGACACAAAATAAACTAGAAACTTCGAAGAGTTAAAAAGATGACCACTTTTATAAACGAGAGAGAAATGAACAAGGATAGCTGAAAATAGAACCCTTATTCAGGTCAGCCTTACATGTATGTACTTTTACATTGAATTGAATCCTGCCCAGACTTTAATGTATCCTCTGATTCATGTATATATAATTAAGCAAATCTATTTTGGTTTACATTTACCAAATAAACCCACATATAATTTTTAATTTTTATACAGAATGTGTACTTTATGAATCTGAAAGACAGGAATTATATTCCTTGTTCGATAACATCAACGGTATCAAAAACACACTTTTTGTTTTGTTTTTTTTAGCTTTATCACCTTCTACATGTGTAGAAACCAAAAAAGAATTGTCAAATTTTCTTTAACGCTGTAATAAAGCAATATTCTATTTATATACAAAGCTGTTGATCTGATGTTGACAATTAGAGGCCTGCTTTCTTAGATTGCAAGGACCAAGAGATGGAATTCGCCAGGTGCCAATTTAGGAGAACAATCTCAATGCACAAAGAATTTCAGAGTTTGTCTAAGCAGATCATGTTTAAGAAACTGTTGAGTTCAAAAGATAGTTTCATTGCCAACATTCTCGGAGCTAGTCTTTATTCATAAAATCTAAAAATTTATAAAAACTTTATTAAATGTGTTTTTTTGGTTTTATTATTGTTGTCTGTGACAGTGTGTTACTTTGTCTTTGGCCATAATTTCTTACATTATTTTGAGTCAAATAAAATATTCTACTACTGCAAAGTCCTTTCGATTGAGTAAGATGAGAGTGGGAGAAGACATGCCAGCAATTGTCATTATTGAACATGCTACCAATGAATAAATAAACTATTAACCTAACATGCACAGAAAAATATAGTGTTTACATCCATTATATGATCACTATAGAAACAACATGCAACCATGACAACAAGTGAACCATAACCAATGAATCAGTGTTCTTGATTGGTGTCTTTTCTTCAGGAATGATACCACAAACACATGCTTGAGTTTTTGATCACCATGGAAACACTAAGACTAGGTTAAGTTGACAAGTGTGCAAAAATTATACATTATATTAAAGTAAATTACAGCTTATTTTTTAATTATTGAGGGAGGATTATATGTGCATGTATTAAAAACAACTTACACCATGGAGGTAGAAGTTCTGTAAGTGAATACAGTAAAATAGTGTGCATAGGTTAGACATACAGACACAATATTACAACCATTTTTACTTTTAACATAATCACTACAACTAACATAAGAAAATCTTATTCATTTTATTTTAATACTGGTATGCGGGTGTTTCGCTAAGTAAGAGTAGGTGACTATATACAAAAAGTTACTTTTTTTTGGTAATCTTTTCTTTGGTAATCTTTTCTTTATATATTATTATTGTAATTTTCTCTTTATTGTAGTAATTTTCTTACCATACATTACCCACAGATGGTAATTGTTGAGTAATAATTTTATTTTTATTATATTTCGGAAGTAGGAGCCCTGAATGGAATACTTTTCTATAGGGTGTGACCTTTAAAAATACAAAGTTGCTGGCTGAAAAATTTAAGTTGACAGGTATTTTGCTGACAGTCACCTCTTACCGAAACTCCTGAATATGTATTGTACATTTCAGAATAGATAACAGTCACATGGCCATAACAAGCCATGGTTGTGATATTGTGCACTAAAGTCAAAGTGTAAGGTAGAATAATATTGAATGACTGTACTCAGGATTGTATAGGAATTAAAGGTAAAATATATGAAAGTTAAATTTCCTCTAAAATGTTAGTTTTTTTAGGATAGTGAAATTAATCATAGATGTAGGCAAAACCACATTTTTTTTTAGAAACCAGGATATTATTATTTATCATTACTAACTAATGTTAACCGCAGGTTGTTAACTAATGGTGTCCAATTTTGCTATCTTGGATACAAAATCACATGCCTTAAATTCTAAGACAAATTAATATTTTATTTTCATGAAATAAACTAATTGTGGAATACTTTATTTTCGCTAGAATTAATTTTCGCTGAAAAGGTTTTTTTGGCGTTTTGTGTGGAATTTATTTTCACAGATTCACGAGTTTGGTGTGAAATATAGGAAAAAAAAGTATATTCACTGGATTTTATTTTCACAGAATCATCCCTTCAGCGAAAATAGCGAAAATAAAGTATGTTCTACAGTATGTTATTGAGTTCTTAAATATAGTGACACCATTAGTTATTAAACCAAATGTATCCCTTACAAATCCGGCTGTTAGTTATAAAACATAAAAAGATAAAAAGGACCCGTAAGAGATGCAAAACCTCAAACATTGCAGAAAAGTATACTGATGTGCACCACTCATTAATAATAACTCACTCGTTTGCTGGGTCAGTGTGTCAGCAATTACGTCAACA